GGTTTCAGGGCACTGGCAACGGGGTGCTGTGGCTAGTGCAATCTCCCCAGACTTGGAGAAACTCTGCTCTAGCCTGCCGGGCCGGACAAGCTGGGGCAGAACGCTTCTGTGGTCCCTGCCCTGGACTGGGAACCCAGCCCTCAAAGAGCCTCTCGGGATTACCTTGCGGAACAGCGTCAGCTTCTGTAGCACCTCTTCCCCTGCTCTCTCGATGGCAGGAAGGTTCCTCGGGGAGCCACCTGATAACAGGACGAGACACGATCTAGCCACACAACACTCAGAGCACTCGCCCCCCGGGCACAGCCACGGCTCTTCAGGGCTTGGGTTCAGCTCTCCGAGCCTTCTGCCACACTTGAAAGGAGAATCGCCTTCCTCTCCCACCTTCCCAAGGGTCTCCTCTCGGTTTGCTAGGTCTGGTCAGTGTGCCCCCTCCCAGCCCTGTGGCACAGCCAGCGGAGAAGGGAGACGTCCCGCTACGCTGCTCTGCAAGGTCTGGGAGGAGTTGGACCAGATTGTGTCCCACTCATCATGCCCCACCCTGTCCATGTAACTATCCTAGACAGAAACAGCAAGGAGACCTGGGGCACCCTCGAGACAGATTTATTCGGGCCTAAGCTTGTGGGCCAAACCCACCCAATTCATCTGAGAAAGGTACTCATAAATCTGAGCCTTCAAGGTGCCGCAGGACTCAGTTTTGCAGATACAGACTCACATGGTTCTCTTCTGAGACTTGACCTAACCGGGTTTGCTCAGGCCCAGGCCCCATCGGCTGAAGGGTGACAGCCCAACACAGTGTGCAAGGTTACTGTGGGCCAAGGACTGACGTCTCAGGGAAAGGTGACACCCCGGAACTCACCCGTGGCAATTAAACATTTATCGTAGGTGATCTGGGTTCCATCATCGAGTTTCACCACGTTGCCGCGAACGTCCATGTGCACCACCTGCAAGGCCCAGCACAGAGAGCAGCTCAGGGTTACACGTCCTGTAACCTGGCACAGGCCAACCGGGCAGAGAAGCAGCCACCAAGATACCGTCACGTGAACACGGTTTCCCCGTAGGCCCTCCCTCGCTTGGAGAAAGGGCCACAGGAAGGGGCCAGGCTCTCTGCTCCCTCCCGCCACGAGATTTGTAAGGAGGCTCCTAACGCAAACTACACACACCAGCCCCGACTCTGGCTGTGCTCGGCAGCATCCGTAATATCCCACTCCCCGGCATGGAGAACTTGAGCTTCTGCCTGAGCGTTTCCACGGCTGTTTTTAGCGCCGTAGCACAAGCCTGCACCCGTCAGCTTGGGCCAGGAGGGGCGCTGCTGCGGGGGTGAAAACGCCCCTCGGCTGTAAGCACTGCTGTTTGTAAAGCGCAGGGTCAATGCATGGTGCTGGAGCACTGAGCATCGCTGTACCAACCTTCTTGCCGCTGAGGACGGCCACTCCACCGTTGTCTATATAAGGCAGATCACGAGCAGGCACGTAGAAAGACGGCGGCTGGAAATAGATACTGCAGAGAAAAAGTGCCCCAATGTGGACAGGGTTTCTGGCTCCCTCGCGTTAGCAGCTACTCAATGGCTGGAGGAGCACGCACCCATCCAAGCGCAGACCAACAGAAACAGCCTCGCACAGGAGACTGCGCTCACGTGGCGATTCCAGGCAGGGTTTGGTTTCACCGAACGAGGTGACGTCTAGGGCTCAGACCCAAGCACTAGCACAGCAATACTGGGCCGGGGGGCAGCCATCCGGGTCCAGCCGAAATCCCCTGGAGGCCAACTCTGCAGCATGTGACTGCCCAGCTGGGACAGTGCAGGGGTGGGGCCAGGGCATGCTCATTGGAGGGAATGGGAAGAGGGGAGGTGGGGCCTTGGGGGAAGGGGTGGGGATTTAAGGGCAGAGGTGGAGCGGGAATGGGATCTGGGGCTGAGCAGGGCTTGAGCATGCCTGAGGAAATTGGAACTGGTGTGGGTGACATTGCTCTCTGAGCAGCCTACCCACAGTGCAGTGGGATAAGTGTTCTCAAGAGACTGTCCACCTGCTCCACTGTAAGCCCAGAGGTCCTCACTTCGCAGGCTGCCAGCGACTCCTGGCTGAGCCCAGCGTGGTCCCCCCAGGCGCCATTCACGTCACTGCCCGCAGGGGGCTCGCACCTTCTCTCTTTGCCATTCCACTGTTTGAACCGCAGCGTCTCCGTGACGTTGGGATCTTCCGAGAACCACAGCTCCTTGGAAAGAGGAGGGCGCATGTACGGCAGGGCAGGGTCTTCAGACACAATCAGCACCTGTCGTGGGAGATCATGAACAAGCTCACCTAAGCGCATGTGTTGAAAAGGGTGGTGTGCTACGTAGGGAGGGGCGGGGAGCGTGCCCTCTGGCTGTAGCCCCGTGCCGTGCTAAGGCAGGCCCCTTACCCTTGCCCCAGGATCACGAGCCCGAATAGAGCGGGCAGCAGCGAAGGCGGCAGTGCCCCCACCAATGAGCAGGAACGGAGCATGGGACGGACACTCAGAGCGAGCGCTTGGATCTGTCTCCGGAGCTGCAAAGCAACAGAGCAGACAGCCTGGTGTGAGCACAGCAACCAACCTGCACCAGGAACACTGCCCGCCCCCAAGGGAAGAGGGGAAACGTTTGCCCTGGGAAGAATCACGACTTCCTTTTGCATTGCGAATACTGGGAACTCTTTGGTGGGCTGCGCTCCCCTAGCTATTCCCTAAAGGCTGCTCCCTCCCAGCCCCGCACCCGGAGAGCTGCTTCTCAAATCCCACGACGTTCTGCGAGGTGCTACTCTCACGTGCATGTGTCGTTCGCCTCAGAAGGCTACTAAGGAAAGGCTGCTTCTCACCGCAGCATGCCTAGGCCCCGGTGCATGTCAGTCAGTGCTGCAGCGCTTTTACCCCGGTTACCCCGCTGAGCCCACACACCTAAGGGGGACAGCACAGGACTTTTGGCAGGACAAAAAAGAACCAAGAAAAGAGCTTCCATTGACGGGCTTATGATTTTATGCTCACTCACCTCCGTGCTCAACTGCTGCCACCTGCTCTGCTGGGTTTTTTTGGGGGGGGATGCAGGAGGGGTTGAGGGGGGAGAGAGAGGCAGAGAGAGATAAGAGTTAGTTAAAGGAACCTGTGTAATGAGATTGAACCATAACCCCATTGGGGCATCATTACTAGGCATCACATGGAGCTGCTAACCCATGTGAGCATGGCTACAGCTCTGAGTTGTAAGGCTGCTATTCCAACTTTCCTCAAGGCTCCTGCTGTAGTTCTAACACCTCCATTACAAAAAGCTCTGCTGAAGTGCACATGGCTGGGGGAAGTGGCTGCAACACATTCAAGGAGCCACAAAGTCTATTGTGGGGACTCAACATGCAACCTGAAAAGCTTCAGGTAAGATGGAGACAGTCTCGCTATAGCTCAGGGCAGCCACTTATTCCAAATGCCCAATCCCAAGCGGTCGCTTTGGTTAGGTCTCTGAGGCAGGAAATCTTATACTTGAAACCGTCAGGAAAAAATCCTGGGGGATATTGTCTTTCACTCATGTTCTGAGATGGAGGCCAGCTCCTGGGAGCATGTTTTTCCTACACAGCCTGTCTTAAGCAACACAAGCAGAAATAAAACCGAGTTAGAGTTACCAGGGTGACTCCTGGATTCCTTCTCACCTGCTGTGGCCGGGGAAGCAGCATGGTCTTCTGGAAGAGATAGGACACTAGACTTAATCCAGCAAGGTCCAAATAAGGCCAAGTCTACTCTGGCACATTACTGTGCAGTAAATCAGCCCCCAGCGCTGTAACTCACAAGGTGCCCACATTGGCAAGGCACTAACCCGAACCCTAAGTGCACCCTAGCTCCGCAGTTGCTTCGCTCTAGATAAACCACCTCAACAAGAAGCATAGAGCTTGCTGTGCTCTGGATACAGGGTTGGGAGGTGGGGGGAAGAATGTGGATACTTGAATTGCTTGCTGCATTGTGATGGGCCTCTGGAAATGGCCCATAATCGCTCAAGTCCCCTCTGCTCCTTGTTTTGAACTCAGCCGTCTGCCCTACAGGCATGCACCTACCAGAGCATCCTCTCTTAGATCTGCAGTGGTCCAAGCTATTGGTCTCAAAAGCAGGGTAATGGGTGAAATTTTCTGGCCTGTGATACAAGAAGTCTGACTAGATGGTCTAATGGTACCTTCACTACAAACCCTCCAAAAAACCAGGGGATCAACAACTTTTTCTTCCTGTTGGCTTTGTAAGAGAGCACTTATGTACCTGCCCTCCACATTCCAGGACCCAATGTTCCCATCAGCCAGTTCAAGAGGTTTCATTCTTTGGCCCAGAAGAAATCTGTGGACCGCAGCCTGAGAAGCAATGCTATAAAAGATGGGTAGCAAGTTGTGTCGGGCTGTCATTTCAGCTGCAGCATGAGACACTTTGTGTATAAAAAATTAAACTGGGAAATGTAATTGTGCAAATATAGTTTTTGAAGTGGCTCTTGGACCACAGAGTGTTGCTCTGTTCACAAAGTAATGGGTGATCTACAAATCCCGGAAGCTTGAAATACGGTTTAAGTTTTGTTTTGTTTTTTTAACCGTGCTATCAGATGGGCAAGGACAGGCATTTAGAAGCTGCCCTACCCTTTCCTCTTGCACCCTTTTACAGGGAGCACCCTGGACTGCTAGCACCATTGTGCTTGCCCGAAGGCACAAGACAGTGTCCCAAAGACTTGCACCCACAGGCAGTAAGCGCTCTCCTGCCCTAGCTTAGTGCTGGTTGGGCTATGAGGAGTGTTTTGTCCCATCTAATTCTAGATGTACCAACGGAGCTCTTAAACACCCTTTCTTCCAAGGCTCCTAAAACTGGGACGTAGCTGTTAGCTATGGTAGGCTGGTACCCACCTGAGGTGGACTTCACTTTTTGGGATCTCGTGGCTAATGCTTCAATGTGGTCATTGAATCTCTTTGTGTCTTCTTTCAGCGTCTTGTACACCTGGGAGGAGAAAAGCAGAGAGCTGCAGTTACACATTTACCACGTGCAGGTCACTGCATCAATGTAACATTGTGCTTCAACTCATCAATAGGCTTTTGTCCACTCAGCCTGCTCCGAAGAGCTACCAATTAAACAAAGCAGCCAACTGCAGCTCATTGTTCGAAGAGAACACATGCCCGTTTAGGTAAGTCTACAAAACAGTGGCTCTGGCTGCAGAGTCTGATTCCTCCACTGCACTATTCATGACATCTCCATTGTTGGGGCACGTGTCTCATGGTGGACTAAGGGTTTCTGCAGACCTCTGGGAGTTGAGATGAAGATTTCTTCTCCGATGGACTGTACTGGATGGGGCTTGCTACAAAGGCAATGCAAGCAACATGGCCAGCCTCTAGGCCCTTTGCAGGGACGGGCCATGGAAGGGCAAGGGACTGGGTCTCCAGGCAGCTATGCTGGAGCTGAGAAGGCAGAAAACAAGGGCAGGATATAGACAAAGTGGCAGCAAGAAAAAACAGACAAAGCTGGTCCCAGCTGCCCAGCAGAAGAGCACAGCGGAGCCTGGACTAGCGGGATAGGGCTCCAAAGGCGGAGTCTACCTGGGGAAGATGGCAACGGCTGCTGAGGGGGGACCATTCATCTCTATGATGGAGAAGGCCCTTCAGCTTTGAACAAAGCTGGGAGATGCCAGCAGACAACCGCCTTGTAACCCCCCTCATTGTCATTCTCTAGCCAGACAGAGAGAAAGGGCAGAAATTCTGGATGGAGAGCTACAGCACATACTGATAACTGGCAGCCCAGCCACAGCATCCTGGTCAACTACTATGACGTCCATGCCCGCACATCCAGGCAAGAGAAGTACGGATCTGTGCCATGGACAGGATGCTAAACACCTGTTGGAATCTCTTTCAGCTGAACACTTTTCCCCACAGAGATTTCCTGAAAAGTCAGCCCGGGGTTTTGTGGAGACATGTAGAAACGGATAGGTGAGCACAGGGGCTGTATTCTGGAGACTTTGATTCAGTTGGAACATATGTAGAGGATCTATTCCAAAACCAATTAAAAAAAACCCAAAAAACCAAAACATGTGCATGGGGGAGCGTGAGAGAAAGGAATGTTTTGGAACTGGACCATTGCTCCCCATCAGATAGCTAATAAATAAAAGGGAAGCAATTTAACTGTCTGGAGGTATTGCCAAGGCTTGTAGAATTACCTAAATCACACATGCATACCCCTCTCATAACGTTCTGCAAGTTAAGGAAAAACAATTTAAGATACAATAATTGCGTATCAGGCTTTTGGCCTGAAAGGACATTAACACTTGGATCTTTTTAAAGTGCAACATGCCACTTTTAAATTCAAAGTCAGGGCAACTAAAGTTGTAGTGGCAAAACCAAATGACACTGAAGACATTTAATAGTTTATTAGCAAAATATTACATGATACAAACTGTTTAAACCGAAGTTAACAATTTTCTTGAGGTCTGGTAACTGTCCTGTCGCCTAGACAGTTCAAACTTTACTCATCCTCAGGATTAAGCTTTGCATAGGGAAGCAAAATATGGTAAAGTCTCAAATGAAATCTGAGGGATTCTAACTCTAATAACAGAACATGAATAAAAGGCAGAGGCAGACAAAAGCTTATCTCTGGGATAGAAGCAACGTTTCAAGCATAATGGAAGTCCTGTTTGAAAAGAGCAACATAAAGCATTTTCAACTGTTACTTGTAATCCATTATACAAACCCAAGCTTTGTAAATCTACTTTTGTTTGAATGAGAGGTAGAATCATGTGCAATTGAGAAATGAGTTAAAAGAGCAGCAAACAACAGATAAAAATCAGACCATTTAGGAAAGCAGGTACATACAGGTGCATGTATTAGATCGAATCACTCCAAGTACAACCTCTGAATAGGTTTTCCAAAGAGACTTCTAATAAAAAGCAAAGCTACAGTGTTAGCTGTTTGACAGAAGTGCTTTGTTTAATGCTTTTTCTGTAATGTAATTACAAAAGCAGGTAAATGGATTTCCCCCCTTTTTCTAATGGAGCTTAAAGTTAGTTGATTACTTCCTTATTTGTAAGCTTGGAAAGATTAGATCATCAGTAAATGTTGGCACATTTCACCATGCAGGCAAAGAAAAAACATTTCCATAGATAGTAACTGAAATATACAGACAGGCAAAGACAAATGCTGCTTGAAAATTAAGAGTCTTATTTAAGGATATTAAAGATATATTTTGTATTCTATGACAATCTGTGTTTTATTATTTATAAAGCTTTCATTTTTTGAATATTAATACCTCTGATGATTAAGAAAATATTGTCTGGGCACCCCATAATTTTGCACAACTATGAGAGTTTGAAATGACAAAAATGGAAAAAAAAAAGGTTAAAAATAAAATTTCATATTCCTGGTCAAAATTATAAAAAATAAAAAGTCCAATTTTGCCAATCCTATTTGTTAGTACACCAGCATCAATGCTGCTGAATAAATCTTGGAATGTGACTCATTAATCAACTTTGCTTCCCTGCGGGCAATGAAGAAAAGCAAGAGACACAGCCAATCCAATGCAAGCTGGAGCTTTC